GTAGCGCGATGTTCAGATTTTATGTCGCCATTGCAGTCGACGCTCTGTTCGTATTCTGCCGCAGCGCCATCTTAGTTTCACTGACATTTGATACTTGATGGCAGACATCTTGTTTTTGGACACGGTCGTAAGGCTATCGAAAATACATATTAGGTACTATTATTTCACATTTAGAACATTAATTAATTATATCGTATAGAAATTATTACAACTTATTGGAATTAATGGAAAGATTGTTGTCTGAAGCAGAGATAAAGGCACACTTACATAATTAAATTCAAAGGAAATTAATGTATTGTAAGTATATTAACAAGTATATTTTTGGATAAAATTTTCAACATATTTATATGATAGAGCATTCATTCATCCGCTGTTCCTACAACAAAGGTTCTGTCGTAATGGATTTGGAAACATCGAGAATAGCGTATGGTATCCCTGAATATCGATATAAAATATCGCATCCCGGGAGAACGAAGGGCAGGAAAGAGGTGGTATTCTTCGGGATCAATGACTGGAAAGGAAGAGTGGACGTGTATCTTGGACGGCGCTTAGGTTGAACTCGTCTTAACCACTTCTACACCGGAAAGCTTCGAAGCGTAGTCTACGAGGGCACGGTCTAGTAAACTAACGAAAGAGAACTTCCCACTGCGAAAGTGCTGCTCTACACGCGAATGATTCTGAAGAGCAATCGCAAAGAAAAGCTCACTGGCATTCTTGTCCACGTTTCAACTTCGCCCGTTGATCCCGAGCTTTGAATGCGCCTCTCAATTTCCGCTTTGAACCTTTGATCGGATTTTGGGGATCGAATCTACGATTACGCTGTCGGTTCTTTTCCAGAGAAACAAATGGAACCTCGCTGGTATTCGAGTGTTACCGAAATCCCGATGTTTATTTAAATTTCTCTTTATCTCTCTCTATCGATTTACTTGCAAGTTCACCGGTCGATTTTATCGCCTGGCGTACTTTGCAAGATCGAGTAACGCGATTTCCAACTTTTCTTCCCATTTCGGTTTCACCTAACAACTCGTTACTGGCTCGATCGAGAGAGGATATTTCGACTGCTCGAAGTCATTGGGAAAACTGTAATTGAATTAATCTCAAGTTAATTTTGCCAGTTGATTATTTTAACAAGCATCTAATTAGAATAAAAGAATTAATTTGTCTTTTTAGCTTCAGGATTATTTTTAAAGCCCATTGTAATGGATTTCTGGAGCTGATTGTTTATCTGAAAATACTGAAAAGAAGTTACTATTTCTAAATTATTATTTTTGTGATTGTAAAGGAGAGCATGGCAAGTTACAATTTTAAGAAATTTTTCTGTTTGTATTGGATTGAAAAATATGATTTATATATTTATTGGAAGAAATGTATAGAGATAGATTTTATATGTTCAAATAATCGTACAATTCAATCAATTGTAAGTAAGAAGAATTTGTATTTAGAATTTTAGACAGCAATATCTTGTGTCTTTGATTACATTTATGACTACAGATTTGACATTTGATTTTGAGTTTTGTATCACTTAATTATTTTTGAAAAAGATGACCAGAAGCTAACAAGTACTTTATAAAATTCACTTGCTGTAGGCTCTTTCAGTAGTGCCTAGTGTTTTTCCTGGAATTATTGAAAACCCCATTTTATTTTAGACTATAGTTCAACATTTTCAATAGGTGTTGCGTACACAGTGTGTTTCTCGTGTTCGTATAGCTGTTTTCTATGGTTTCCAAAAGTGGATTTTGGTCCTGTTTACAAAACGTGCTACAAATTTCGTTGCAAAAAATATTTATTATCAAAATTTAGTTTTACAAATTTCCCTTTCTGTTTTAGTTGTCTAATCAGTAATACTCAAGGCGAAATTTTCTTCACGAACAACCATAAATCTTCATTACCAGTCCTACCGAACCAAGATTGTGGATGTCACGCTACCTTTACAGAGACTGATAAAATATAGCTTCTAATTGAAAGAGATACGCAATTAGCTTTCATCACTCATCAATTATAATCACATCTACGTATACTATAGTACATTCATGTTACCTATATTATAGTATTGATAGTCGTAGCGTAAACGTGTCCCGGCTTCGATTTTCCAGCAAATCGACGACGTTGACAGGATGGTTGAAATTAAATACCGTGAATTGGGATAGATATAATAAAGTGTGCAGCACGATTGTCCACAGTTTTTGTTGTACAATTCAAAAAGAACGATTTAGGGGTGGCAAACGGTGCAGAGAGCGAAGAAATGTCGATCATTCGTGTACAATGGCACTCTATGGATGTTATTTCGCTAGAATAGGAGGAAAATAGCTGGATGCTGGGCAAACCGTCGCGTTACACGCTGTTACCCTCGCAAAACTGTCCGCTACCCGTTCTGATTCCCCATTTGCCGGCACTGCGTATCCCTGGCCAGTCAGAGCTGTCCGAAAACTTCCCCATCGGCGTCGAGCTTCGCTTAAATTACTAAACGGTTTGCTGAAAACCGATTCCTTTTTGCCGACTTTTTATTATTTCTCGCACTGCGAGTTTTCCAATGATTCATTAGTCTCCGATTTCCCGAAATTTGAAAATATTAAAGAGAAAAACTTTCTTGGGATAATTAATTATTTAATTTTACTTTAAGGGGGTATTGTAATCCGGCCAATAAAATTCGACTTCTTTAGGATTTTCTCCCATGGAAACCGTGATACATATTGGCATGAAGTTTTCGCAGTCGGATTTATTTATACTTGAAGAATACTTTCAATTTTTTTTAAACGAAATTATTGAAAATTGTTGAAGTTATATAGCCTTAAGGTAAATCGCGTTTTTAGAAACTCAAATCTCTGATGTGATTCCGTATCATCCGATTATCTGAAACGAAAAGACTAAATAGCATCTTAATTAGTATAAATGCGACTATAACATGAACCACCAAAATAAAAAGTGGCATTCTCGTCCTTTAGATGGTAAAGAAAAATAGAAAAAAACATCAGATTTTGAAATCCTTGGTTCATGCGATAAAGGTACATTCGGTGGAGATCTCTTCCAAATTTCAAGTGAATCGGTTGACTGAAACGCGAGATATCCCGTCAACCAGTTCAAAAAACATGTTTTCGAAAAAAACGCGTTTGAAGTTTTCGTTATCCGTTGCACGATATTTGTACGCCGTACTTTAAACATTTGTAACTTTGCCGATTTTACGAACTCTAAAACAAATCCTTTTATACAGGTATTTTTGAAAGCATGTACATTGAAAAAATGTAAAAAGAAAAAATTAATTTCTTTAAGCCGGATTCCAAAAATAGCCCATAAGTCGACTTTTGTTATGCTTGCGTTGCATTCGTGTAATATCGTTAGGACTAGTACGAATATATTGTGAGAGGAGTGAAAAATATGAATTAAACTATGACGTAGATGAAGCGAATGAGTTTGTCGGCACCATATAATTACGCGTATATGTGTAGGTGATTATGTAAGTGGCTTAAGTTATATACGTACCTTCCGTTCCAGGATATTAAAAGTTCTGCATTTGGACAAGTTAAAAAATTTATTACGTTCGAACTATGAATATTCTAAATTTTCATCCGGTCTGTAAAACTTATTTTACGTCATCGTAATATAAACGGAAGAAATACGAAACGAGTGACAAATTTCTTTGTTGATGTAGATGTTAGTGGTTCTGGTAATACATTTATGAATAATAAAATTTGTAAAATATTTGCGGAACTCTTGGCAAAATTGGTCAAAAATGTAAAAAAAGGCGATCCGCGACGTTAAAAATATTAAAAACGAATCTTCCAAATATTTAGAAAAAATAAAAGCTCTGACAATTGTCACTGGGCGCGATGCGTTTGAAACCGCCATGAAATCCTCTGTTGAACAGCGCCAACTATTCGGTCGTTAACGGTACTACAGAACAGAGGCGATCACAATTTGCGGATATTCGAGAAACATATTTGCGGATTGCATCGCGTGTCTCGTTGACGCATGATGAAAAAGATTATGCGTATTTGCACCGACAATAAGCCACTCTGAAAGGAAATAAAAAAATAGATTTCCAAACGAATGCAAAGTTGGTACTCGTTACAGGCGTATTCAGTATCCTAGGCGCGATGTTCGAGCACATTCACGTGGTCGTGCTGCGTCGGGATGGAAAATTATAGCCGATGGAGAAGCACCGTATCGCCAACGGGATCAAAAATAAAGGCGGAAACGCAATTTCGAAATCTCTCGAAAAACAAACAAATCCCCTCGAATGTTCATAAAAACGCGAGAAAAAAAAAAAACATTTTCTCTGGAATCCAAGACGCGTGTTCCATCAGTTTATTCCTTACTCCTCCATTTTACGGGTTCCTCTAAACCGTAATCGTTTCACCTCCGTGAAACAACCGCGTAAAACAATCGTTACGCGGGGAGGCGCGAATCGTTTGCCCGGCTCGGCCGATATGTTAAATCCCGACTATATCGACCGAGTTTTCTCGACGTTACGTAAATGCTCGCGAGTCGACACGCATTTTAATTTCTTCGCGAGTTCAAAGGCTTTTCAAAGTGTCCTGCGTCCCGTAGGTACCGTCTTTACGTAAGCTCCCGGGGGATCGCTTAACTGAATAGCCAGCCAGTTAGCTCGAGATTATTCAATTCCGAACCTTCTCCCTGCCTGTCTTCCTCCTCTATCTCTGTCGCAACCTGTCTTGGCGAAATTAATCCCGTGACTGCAAGGAAAAACGCCGCGCATCCAGCGGTTTCAAAAAATATTAGTCCCCGCGTTAATTGCCATCAAGAATATACGGTTTACTTATTTATCGTAAAATGGATTTTATATTTCCAAAAAATTATGCAACTTTATCCAACGCTCGGAAAATAAAAATATGTGACATGTATAATAAATGGAATATAAAACTCGTTATGTAATTCGATATTATTTTCTATTTCATATCATTTATTTTATATCGTTATATATTATATATTTGGTTTCGATGTGATTAAAATGGTATATTAACGGATAAATTGTTGTATTTCAGGTGGTATAGCGTCATGTATAAGAAATTTTCGAACCGACTTCCTAGAGGAATGGCCGACTCCTGGGACGGAGCCCTACTTCGACACAACGATGCAGTCGAACTTCACCGGATTGGTGGGAAAAACTGTGCACCTAGTATGCATAGTGAAAAACCTCGGAAATCGAACGGTGAGTTTCTAGAAATTTTATAAAAATAAACTTTAATAAGAATAAATAATCCTGCGTCTGTCTCGATAATACTCAAAAACATTCGTATATTTCACCAATTGCGAAAACAGAAAGTCAGGAAATCATAATTTTGACGTATTTGTTAGGTCTACTCTTAATAAACTAATTAGTGAAAATATTAATTTTCATCGAAATAAAAGTATAATTATTTTTAAACCCACCTATTTTCATCGTACCACTTAAATCACTATTATCACATGTACACCGTGAATTTAGATTTTAGATGCACATTATAAATCTATAATTTTAGCGTTAATTTGGAAAGAAATGAAAGTAGGCATATAACATATTACAGAGGGATGCAAGAAGCTATTTACAAAATGAAAACGTACAGTCGAGTTTCTGCTCAGTTACAGGATCCGTTTAATCCGATAATTGAGCCGTGCCAGTTATGACACGAGATATCGTGACCGTGAATGCCGGTTCGAAACAGAAACAGCTGGCAGCTTTCAAAGGCGGAGGTATATAATCACGATATGTTTAGCCAAAGCAGCTAAGAAGCCGCTGTTAATACACGGCCAACGATAATGGCGGTCTTCATTAATAGGCATACAGAGACCGCAAGCTAATCAACAGTAGTTTGACTTCGGCTTAGAGCTTCTCGATGGAAGCAATTACAATGGCGCGGTCTTGGTCTTACCTGATTCTGTTCAACGATCGGTCGATCATAGTTTAAGATGCCTCGATTGACTTACGAACAAAAGCAACTCTTCCTCTTCTCCTACAACAACGCATAATCCATCAAACTTTTCAGAACACGTGAAATTAGATCTTAAAATGCGCAAGGATATTTCGAAATCTCGAATATGACACGGTTCGTTAACCCTAAGCGTTTAGGCAGCCTTAACCACTTGCGCTATAAAGACGTGCCACGCACGTCGAGATGCTTTTGTTCCAAAACCGCCAGCAACGTGTATACCACGTCGATAGGCATTTGTCGCAGAAACAAAAACGACGTGTCCGTCACGTCGGCTAACAGTTAGCTCGCAGACACGGTTCGGTGTAATGTAACGCTTTATTGCATGTTATATTGTAGAGCGTGGCACGGCAATCGAAAGTTAAATCGTAGTGCAAGTGGTTAAGACGATTTTCCACTTAACTCACTAGCGCCACCACGCCTCATATCTGCGGTGAATACGTGAGTATATAATACGCAGCGTCGTATTGTTTCCATCAATTTCTGGATCGTACACATGGAAGAGTTGAAATTTGTGTTTGATAACGAAGCTGTTCTTGAATGCACGTATAATTGTTCAAATATTGACAAAGAGGAATACTGGAAATCTAGTTTACGTGTCCCTCCGCGTTGCGAAAAGTGTGATACACTGCAATGAATTAATGGAAATAGAAGAAGCAAAATCAGCGTGGTACGTGCAATATTGAATGAGAATTGTATCCATGGATCTAATACGTTTCAATCTCGAATTCAATTATCATGCATTCGCGACTGTCTCTTTGTTACATAGAATATCGCGGTTGTTCATTATTTGCAACCATTTTCATTGGAATTTTAATGTCACGTTCTAATTAAGCAAATAACGATAAGAATTACAAAGGCGATGACAAGTAGTAATACAAATCAGAGCAACGAGTAATTATAACGTGTTCCTTATACGAAACTAATGCGGTAAATACGACGAATGCGGGGCGAAATTGAATACCGATAACACTGTTCAATGCGAATTTTAAGCTGTGATATCTGTCAGGTAATTCTTGCAGAGTTTACTTTCCTGAGCACCGTAATCGAAATTGCTAGTCAAAATTAAAAAATATGTCGCCATGCATACTTTCTACGCATATTCTTGCATGTTTGCAAAAAATTCTTTATCTCACACGAATTTTCTACACGGTATCGTATTCTGCAGGCTTGTTGAAGACGAGACCATGGAGCAAAATTGTCAAAACAGTTTTCGTTTCATTTAAATCCAGAAAATATTCGTCGGTAACGCGTATACGGAATTTTACCGCAACGAATCCATTGTTCGCTTCTCTAGATCGGACAATGTCGCAGCTATACGTAATCCCAGTACCAAGTGTAATAAAGTTAACGTACAATAGTCTACCTAAATAAAATTGTGCTATAAAACTTCGAAAAACTGACAAAGTTCAGAAGGAACTTTGAAAATTTACAATAGATAGGAAATATCGTAAACTTACTACTGATTTATATATAAAACCTATAATTAACTAATAACTAATTTATAATTAACGTATAACTAACTTATAACTAGTTTATAACTAATATTTTAACTTTGATGCGTAGCTCTTAGCTTGGTATCGTTTCCCAAAAATTATTCTTTGGGAAACGATACCAATTACCAGGTCTCACCACGTGGAGGTGGCTACGCATCGAGACCCGACATGCGTCCTAGTGGCGCATCCTACTGGCGCTATCCGTGTCAAAGGCAACCTAATCTAACTTGGAGCGAAAGAAGTTAAAGTGAATCTACTGACACTTTAATAAATATCGTGTCTTACGAAAGGGTTCGCGATTATTCGAAAGACCGACTAGCCTAGGCGATATACTCCCGTGTACAGAGATAACTTCATACCTCGGCACCCTCCCGATCGGGCCTAGCTCAATTCCAGTCACTGTCGCACTCGCCAAGACTTACACGTGGACCAAGGATAGTCCCTGAATCAATGAAACTTCTAGTGTCAACAGGAGGGCCCAGCTGGGCGGTTGCCGGCCAAGACAGACACTTCGCATCCCAGCCACACGGGGTAGAACTTAATCATCCCTGTGGTCTAACCGTAGATGGTACTAGTCCGTCAGCCAGCATGTGCCCGAGCCCAAGTCGCGTACGACTTAGGCAGCGGACCGCCCGGTCGAGGTCAGAAGACGCACTGATTCGAGGGGGTCACCCTGGAACCCGATGCATGACGAGATTGACAGTGACTGGAAATGAGTGTCGGAGACGAGTCGTGAGGATGACTTATGAAGCATGTACTTATCGAGTACACGAGAGCACGTCGCGTAGGCTAGTCGGTACTTACGAAAGATCGCGATTATCGCGAGAACAATTATGTTCTATTTGGTAAACGAGAGGGTAAGAGAATTGATATATTCCGCTCCAAGTTAGGTGGCTTACCTTTGAACGGATAGCACGCACATGAAACTTAGTCTATGGATCTATCTTATCCTCCTTATAACTAGTTAGATCTAAACGCACGCATCCCGCGTCGTCCAACGATGTCTTAAAAAACCTGAAATGCTAAAAAGGAACAGATTAGTATTAAATTAGTAAAACATATTAAAAGTGAAACAAATATAAACTACAATGGTCAACCAAATGGAACAAACAATCCAACGATGAGAAATTAAAAACCTAACGATTACACATGAAGAACCCAACGATGAGACATAAACAACCCAACGATGAGACAGAAACAAACCAACGATGAGACATTCGAATATTATACGAAATATTCGAATGTTAAATAAAAATAAATAGAAACCCAGAAAAGTCTGAAAAAATAAAAAATTATTAAAATCTGAAAAAGAATAAAATAATTAACAACTGAAAACAAAAATAAATTATTAATAGCTGAAAATAAAGAAACAATTAGTAAATGGTTTAATGGGGTGGGGTGAGGGTGGGGTGGCTAGCCCCAACCTCACTTTCGAACTCCCACCCCTCGCGCACGAAAAAATTTAGATGTTACACTTCCCAAGTCGAACCGACAAATGACTTCTGCTACGACGCCTCGCCCTTTATATAGCCTACGATCGGCCGAGCTCCCCACCCCAATCGGAAATTTTCAAACTTCAGCAATTTTATTCATTATTAATTTTCCACTTTTATAGGCAATAATTTATTAATTTTTTCACTTTTACTGTAAATATACGTTGCGAATAATTCGCTAATAACACTATCAATTTGTTATTAACAATCGGTGCAATAATTTATAAAGTTTTTGTAAATTAGAAATTCATTTTAACACAAATGCGTTATGTGTTCAAGTAATAGGCAATAATTTAATGATTTTTTGCATTAAATTATAAATTTAAGTTGTAAAGAATTTGTTATTAACAATAAATTTGATAATTTATACATATTTTATAATGTAAATTTACTTTCGCATCTCCATAGGATAAATTTATATGATACGTATATATATGTGAAAATATTTTTATATCCTCTATATTTTCGAATTTTAAAAACTCACATTTTTCGAAAATTGTGAGTGATAAAGCAATTTCGATTACGAATTTGTGTTCAGGAAAGTAAGCTCTACGAGAATTACATATTGGATATTACAGATTAGAGAAAAAATTAAAATTTGTTGGACAGTATAATCAGTAAAATGCGTGTACAGGCAAAATAGTTCTCTGCAAGAGAACAAAACATATATATATATATACATACATATGCATTACAGGGAAGATTGTTAATTTTTATAAACAGATTCACCTGGTTAACTCTCTAATAATTTACTTAAAAAGATCTATTACTTTTAATTATATTTATACACTTGCCTGAAACGCAAGTAACGTTACATTCGCGCTTATGAGGACCAAAACAAAAGTAATAGCCTTTATTAAACCTCAGTTAAACCTTAATTAAGTTTTGATTACATTTTAGGATGCATTTCTAGCTAAAGCATAATCCGGTTAATTGGGGAGAATTTAAAATCTCTAATAATAAACTGGATTTATTTTTTCAAAAAAGAAATAGCGCGAAGAAATTTTAAACGTTGAATCACCAAGCTCGCTTGTTCGTCATTGTTCAAACTGCAGTTGGATTACGACGTTGAGGAACAAAGAACGCGAGATCATTACACCGTTCCGTGTTTCTTCTCGAATGGCAGGAAACTGCACATACGCGAGTGTCGTATCCGTTGTATGCGTGCAAACACGTGCATATACGTGCGCCACTCCACCTGAGCGCGTAGAATAAGCGAGCTTTGTAGCGAGGATGGGGACAGGCGAGCGTGATAGTGGCGTTGGGTCAGGCGAGCGCGGTGGTGGGGTTAGGGACTGGCAAGCGCGGCGGTGGGGTTAGGGACTGGCAAGTGCGGTGGTGGGGGTAGGCGTCAGATTGTCTTCTCCATCATCTGGACAAAGATCATCGGATTCTTATTTTCTTGAGATCTATCATACGTCTCTTGTCGATCCTATTTTCCCTGCTGTCTACTTTCGCAGGAAGAACCTGTAATCCCTGTAAGCGTCAATGGAGTCGGAAATCGCGAGGCAAGCATTTAACAGCAACATCCTCCGTGCAAACAACGCAGAAAATGACTGCGTTAAATTTATCCACACGCAAGTTGTTTTCTGAAGTGGTTCGGAATGATAATTGCGCGGTTTCGCAAAAACGAACGTGTTACATTTTTCGTGTAACGCGAACAATACGACTAATACCACTGTCGATAAAAAGAAAAGCGCGGGTTATTAGTGGAATTCGATGCGCAGATGCGACATTTGTGTATTCTTAGCGTACATTCATGCAGGCCGTCCACCAATCGCTGATCATTCCATATCTCGAATGTATAGTCGATACGCATTAATTATACGATTTATGCATACATGTGCCGGTGATTATGAAAATATGTTCCATTTTAAAATATTTAAAGCTTCGTGTTTTACGTATATCATAAATTAAAAGAATTAATTATGACAAGGTTATAAATTCAGTCTAATGGTTCCGTTTTTTTTTTGTTATTTTGCCAAAGATAGTTCTATCTTGTTGCAGTATAAATGAATGCTACGCAGGATAAACGATAAAATCAGTTCTTTTAAATTTTTGCCTTATACCGTTTTCATAATTCCCGACACATATGTAACTCGTATTAAATGGAAGAGTTTCCTCCAATTCGAAATTTTGAATTTACGAATGATAATCCCCAATGATTTTATATTTCATTTCACTCTGTAAAATTTAATAATTTTTTTAAATTCACGTTGCGTTTTTTTTTTTAATTTTTTTTTTCAATCAGAGGTAAACCGTTTTTACGCTAATTTCTCATTGGGACGCATTAAATCGTTTAAATTTGCGCGGATTTGCAATTTTGCGCAATTGTTGAATAAATTTCGCTGAAATTCCACCCAATTCAATCGACGCCACATGGAGTTCCGTTGGCTTCAATTTATCGTTCGGAATGCAACAGTTGCCAATTTCTGGTTAGAGCAAGTTTCGGTGGTAAGTAGTGCGGTGCTCGATTCAGTGACCATCCCTTGGCTAGGAAGCTGAAAACGCTTGTAAATAAATTTCAGCTTACGAGCTATTTGACTCATTCACGGCACGCGAGTCCAGATTAAACGACAATAAAGGGAAAACGGTATGGGTAATGGGTATAAACGGGCAAGGGTAATTTCGAGCCCGAGGTAGCCCCGAAATTCGCCTGGCGCCATTGCTGGTCACTTGGTCGTACGATGGCGTCGTTTCCCACTCGCTTCGCTCGCTTTTGGACCGAGTCTGCTCGTCGTTTGGCAATGCTGCATGCACGAGGGTGCGCGCGCAACACGGTTCGCATGGGGAATGCGCGAGTCGCATAGATTTCGGTTGGATTTCAGCAAACAATACCGCGGCTAATGCCGATGACACACCGGTGTCATCTCGAGAACTCGCAGGCCCCCCACAGCTGCCAGGTTCGCGGCCGACGTAGGACAATACCGAATTTCCATGGTGATGTCACACTCGCCTCGAGTGCCACCGTCGTTATGGGAAATTGGTTTATGCACCCGTGACGAAGCACCAGAGGAACGAATACCCCAGAAAGGATCCTCCATGCCAGCACACGCCGGGCCACGTTACTGCCTGCTTCTTCGAGCTCTTGTCGCTTCCCCTTTAATTCCAAGATTCCACTCGATCCCGTCCACGCCTACCCAAGAATACACCGAGTTTAGCCGACTCCATTTGTCACGATCTCTCCAAACTTCTCCGTATAGTAAGTAATCGACCTGACCATCCTTTCCTTACGTTTGCTCCAACACCTGAAAATTTATTAACGTTTGAAAGTCATTCACGTGACCTAAATTTTTTTTTACATATAAATTAGAAGTCAGAATGCTTCTCATAAATATATCTCGGGAAAATTTCAATCGTTTTCGCGACAGAAATTGAACATGGTATTACTGACGAATATTAATTGGAGATATTGAAATACATATTTCTGAGATTTCATCCTCTTGCGTTTCGTGAGTAATCGCCGTTTGATATTGCAGAATATTAGAATATTTTTTCAGTTCCCGTTTTTTGTCTTCCTTTTACGCGCAGTTCCTGGAACAGCTGAAAAAGGATCGGGTTTCGAGTGGCAGTATTTATACGGGTAATCTTCCAAAGACGTTCGATTTTATATTACTCGAATATACAAACCGTTGTACGTCCTCTTGGCTAAATAAATTTCAACTGAAACGCGTTTAAATCTTCCGCTCGATCCGGTTCGTGATCTTCACCTGGAAGACGAATAAAATCAAACGAGATAAATGTCAACATTTACGATTATTCTCTTCGCGTGACATCACGGTCGACTTTTAAGCAACAATTAAGGTCAGTTGGTTGTAAGTATAGAGGGTGCACTTCACGAAATTGCGTTCACGGTTCATTGATATTGCCGTCGGTTTATCGATTTAAATACATACATAAACGAGACACCGTATTAACACGGTACAGACGTTCTGTTTTATCGATTGCATCGGGAGAAATGTATTTGCTCGATCGAACAATCGCAAAAATTGTCGCGGACAACTTGGCCTACTTCTCCCTCTACCGACCAAGTTCGAAAGTTCAGAAATAAATGGAGCAATACGCTTCTTCTTCTTTCTCTTTCTTTTTCTATCCCAATGAAAGTCGTTTTCAAATAATTCGTATCAATAACGAGAGTTAATTCGTGATATTTTGTTGCAGGTTTCCTGGGTGAGGCATCGCGACATACACTTGCTGACTGTTGGCCGTTATACTTACACGAGCGACCAACGTTTCGAGGTGCTGCATCTTCCTCATTCCGAAGAATGGACGTTAATGATACGATACCCACAACGCAAGGACTCCGGGATTTATGAGTGCCAAATTTCAACGACGCCCCCTATCGGTCACCCTCTGTACTTGACGATCGTCGGTAAGTATGGGAGGGTCTATAATCGGCAGCCTTGAGTCACTAGTCGATCTTAACCTCCGAAACGTCCACTTTTTCTCTTCGCTTTTATTCCCGTTGCCTCAAACGTCACAGCGCGAACGCACAACACGCGAAAGAAATATTAAGCAGTTTTAAATCGTCCACGTGTTATGTAGGTATAGTTATAAAATCGTCGAGTAATCTGATTACGTCCGATCGGGTTATACCTTTTAATGATTATCCCGTAGATTTCCGATCAATGCAGCAGAAAACTGTAGAATAAATTACAGTGGAATTCATTTCGATAGGAACAGTACCATTATTCACTTTGAAAGCTGACGCGTGCCTTGGGGGCACCATAAATACGAAAGCAATATTCGTATTTGCGTTTAACGCCAATATCTCATCGATTTAATGAACTGTCCGATATGTGGGTCAATTATTTCAACAATTTCGATACATTATTCCGTTATTAAAATAACCCATTAACGTCACGCGATAATAACTTGTCACGATAAATGTACACTCGTGTCTTGTCGTAAAGGAAATTTTAAAGCCGTTGTTCGCTCGGTCGAGTGCCGAAGCGGCGCAATCACGTGACTCTTCCAATCGTGCGTCCTCGGGATACTTCGGTATACTTCGGAATATTTCGGGATACTTCGGGCGTTCGAAGAACACGATAGGTCAGTGAAATCTGGCAGTGATGCTCATAGAGATCGGAGATAGTTTTCGCATGGAAGATTGAAACGATGGCGTTGCTAAAGGAGAAACGATCGAACGAAACTCGTGTATATCTATGATCAATGTGTTCGAAGTTCAGTTCAAGATAGGTGCGGGGATATGTAGTGGTGGTGCGAAATGGGTTAATCGAGGATACGTACGAAATCCCTGCAAAGATTTCATGCGGGCATACAAAGCAGGTGAAACCAGGCCGTCTGCGAGCTCGTATATCCTCGCAGTTACACCGTTAATGACTGCTCTGATATCCTAACCGGGCCGTACTATTAAATGAGTGGATCTTATCACACTGACTTGACCTGAAAATGTTACCTAACACTTCCTCTTCTATATTTCGTACGCAAAAAAGAATATCAGATATTGGTATAAGATTATACCTTGTCGTCTTCGTCTTTTCAGTTCCTTCTATGTATATGTGCCTATATATAGCACACATAATAGCACGAAATTTTAAACATTAAATAGTCAATATTAATTCTTTGTAATTAGTCCAATTCACTATAGAGAAGTAGCAATCGGAGACGTGATTATCGATTATCGATAAATTATCAACATATCGGTATATCGAAATGTCGGTAACGATATTTTCAATAATAATCTATGTATCGTTATTTTAAACGTAATATCGATTATCAAAATCTTTAAAATTTTGCTACACAATGAGAGTCGTCTCTTTTATGATTTAATAGTCGTTATATCTTTCAAAAAAATATTTTTCTTTTTATAAACTCTGCTCTGTGATATTGTCATTTAAATTTATTTGATAATAGTAACGAGAATAAAAAATCAGATGAAAGATATAAAATGGAAAATTTTGTTACAGAACCGATTACCATCATCATCGGAGCTCCCGAGCTATTCGTCAATAAGGGTAGTACCATTAACCTAACCTGCGTCGTGAAGTACGCTCCGGAACCGCCGCCCACGATGACCTGGAGTCACAACACCGAGGTAGGTATTCCCAGGATAGTCGCGAAATATAATCGATGCATCGCTTCCGATCCCCGGTTGTTCGGCTCGAATTTTAATCACGTTGGAAATTTATTCGCGAGAAGTGAACAAGACGCATACGTAACGCGATAATATAATGTGCGATTCATAGTTAATGCCAGTTCCCGGGCACGGTAAGCTGGGTATTCGCCGTTCATTTTACGTGCTAGCAAAGTTCTTTGTGTCGGCTCAAAGGGAATACGTCGAGGGAAACGCGACTCACATATACCTATCTTTTTACCATTCTTCTCGCGAACCTTGAAGCAGAATACCTTTTGTCTTCATACGAGGCAACGGTATTACACGGCAGTGCGAGAATCCACTGGGAAGGGGTAGTTTCCACGGGAATATGAGAAAGCAGCCGCGGTAGCTTTGAGGAAATGATTGCGAACCAAAAGTCGGATGTACCTCGGGATCCAATATTGTTCCTTTTTAACTGTACGCGCGCCACCCAGCGGCCGTAATCCATAGCTATCACGCAGAATACACCGACGTTTCACCTCGGGTATAGTCACGCCAACGCATGTGTCCGGGTAATCTTTCCTACTGTTCGTTCGAATACAGTGAAACTCGGTAATTCGCCAGTTCGCCACTGCCTCGATTAAACTTGACACTGTTACTCGCACGTCAAACGAAAATTGTTACTTGGTTTTTAAAGCAACTCGTTAACCGAGAATTTCAAGATTCCTAACCTTTTTCGGTGCACGTATTTCGGTGCGCGCCTCGAACGCGAGTATCGTTTCCGTTTGATATCGTTCGAGTGTTGTTTTAAAGCAAACTGTATAACGATATATCAGAGATGAAAATAGATACTCGATAACGTAATCGTGTAAGGTAATCTGACAATAGGATACGGAAATTTAAGGGCGTTCCATAGTACTCTCAAAAATAGGTCAAAATTCGCGCAGACGAAATTACGTGCTGCGACCTGGGTGGTATACCGACGGCCATGCAGCGACCGTAAAGACATCTGCATTGCCAATTTCCACGTTTGAACCGCCGTTCGAATTGTTTCGGTAGTTTCTATTTCGATTCGTGGAATTTAAGAGGCTCTTAGCAATTTTAATGCATTCGACCGTCTCCATTGAAATTTCATTGCTAGGAACATTAGACCAGTCGATATTTATATATTACGTATTTACGTTAAAACTTTTCGCCATAGCAGTGGTTCTCAGTCTACAGTATGTTGAATATTTTCAAGTAATATGAGAGCGGAATTAAATTATATAAGATTTTTAGATTATTTGCAATTGGTAGAACGATAATTTGAATCTTTTATCTTTCTTGCGCCTTTTAACGACTTTTCTATAAGCAAACAACGAATAATTTTCTCACGTAAGTTGCGTCATTGTTTAACAATAACGAACAATTTCAACAATTTACAAGCTTTGGCAATTTTATAATTATAGCTTAAAAAAGTGAGCTGGTTAAATTACATTTGCCGCGTTATGTTGCGCAAATGAAGAAACAATCTGACGAATGCAAATTGATGAAAAAATGTAGGTTAACACATATTTTTACAATCCTCGTATTTCTTCGCCTTCACATGGATTCTGTCGTGAATTCTATTAAATCTGTTGATTGAAGAGTAAATACAATTCAGTTATACGTTTCTCTGGGGCACAAACCTACGCTCGATCCCTTTCGCGTTAAATAACATTTCCTCAACGTTGACAAATGTACACGTTAAATCGAACAAAAAAGAACATTACTTTTTCCGTAATGTGTTTCCATTTAGCTCGCACGAATGCATCGAGACGTTTTCTTATTCTTCGTTTACAAGTGTCACTTTACAAAATCCAGTACACCTTGTGCTTCACGAATAAACGCAATTTTTCTACCATGGAGTAATCAAAGCCTAATCGGAATAAGCAAAGAAACGGAATTTCTCCGATTTCATTTCCCTTCGGTGGTTTCGGTTTTTAATTCTAAAAATAATCCCATAGATGGCATGCGCTGTAAAGCAAATAATACATTATCAAAGTTTCACATTTCAATGGGGAGAAGTGTCACGCGAACGTGGTTAGATGGAGACTTCGCACTTCCCCTTCTCCTTACATTTTTCCAATCTTGCCCCCCCCCCCATCATTTAAATTTATTTGATAATAGTAACGAGAATAAAAAATCAGATGAAAGATATAAAATGGAAAATTTTGTTACAGAACCGATTACCATCATCATCGGAGCTCCCGAGCTATTCGTCAATAAGGGTAGTACCATTAACCTAACCTGCGTCGTGAAGTACGCTCCGGAACCGCCGCCCACGATGACCTGGAGTCACAACACCGAGGTAGGTATTCCCAGGATAGTCGCGAAATATAATCGATGCATCGCTTCCGATCCCCGGTTGTTCGGCTCGAATTTTAATCACGTTGGAAATTTATTCGCGAGAAGTGAACAAGACGCATACGTAACGCGATAATATAATGTGCGATTCATAGTTAATGCCAGTTCCCGGGCACGGTAAGCTGGGTATTCGCCGTTCATTTTACGTGCTAGCAAAGTTCTTTGTGTCGGCTCAAAGGGAATACGTCGAGGGAAACGCGACTCACATATACCTATCTTTTTACCATTCTTCTCGCGAACCTTGAAGCAGAATACCTTTTGTCTTCATACGAGGCAACGGTATTACACGGCAGTGCGAGAATCCACTGGGAAGGGGTAGTTTCCACGGGAATATGAGAAAGCAGCCGCGGTAGCTTTGAGGAAATGATTGCGAACCAAAAGTCGGATGTACCTCGGGATCCAATATTGTTCCTTTTTAACTGTACGCGCGCCACCCAGCGGCCGTAATCCATAGCTATCACGCAGAATACACCGACGTTTCACCTCGGGTATAGTCACGCCAACGCATGTGTCCGGGTAATCTTTCCTACTGTTCGTTCGAATACAGTGAAACTCGGTAATTCGCCAGTTCGCCACTGCCTCGATTAAACTTGACACTGTTACTCGCACGTCAAACGAAAATTGTTACTTGGTTTTTAAAGCAACTCGTTAACCGAGAATTTCAAGATTCCTAACCTTTTTCGGTGCACGTATTTCGGTGCGCGCCTCGAACGCGAGTATCGTTTCCGTTTGATATCGTTCGAGTGTTGTTTTAAAGCAAACTGTATAACGATATATCAGAGATGAAAATAGATACTCGATAACGTAATCGTGTAAGGTAATCTGACAATAGGATACGGAAATTTAAGGGCGTTCCATAGTACTCTCAAAAATAGGTCAAAATTCGCGCAGACGAAATTACGTGCTGCGACCTGGGTGGTATACCGACGGCCATGCAGCGACCGTAAAGACATCTGCATTGCCAATTTCCACGTTTGAACCGCCGTTCGAATTGTTTCGGTAGTTTCTATTTCGATTCGTGGAATTTAAGAGGCTCTTAGCAATTTTAATGCATTCGACCGTCTCCATTGAAATTTCATTGCTAGGAACATTAGACCAGTCGATATTTATATATTACGTATTTACGTTAAAACTTTTCGCCATAGCAGTGGTTCTCAGTCTACAGTATGTTGAATATTTTCAAGTAATATGAGAGCGGAATTAAATTATATAAGATTTTTAGATTATTTGCAATTGGTAGAACGATAATTTGAATCTTTTATCTTTCTTGCGCCTTTTAACGACTTTTCTATAAGCAAACAACGAATAATTTTCTCACGTAAGTTGCGTCATTGTTTAACAATAACGAATAATTTCAACAATTTCCAAGCTTTGGCAATTTTATAATTATAGCTTAAAAAAGTGAGCTGGTTAAATTACATTTGCCGCGTTATGTTGCGCAAATGAAGAAACAATCTGACGAATGCAAATTGATGAAAAAATGTAGGTTAACACATATTTTTACAATCCTCGTATTTCTTCGCCTTCACATGGATTCTGTCGTGAATTCTATTAAATCTGTTGATTGAAGAGTAAATACAATTCAGTTATACGTTTCTCTGGGGCACAAACCTACGCTCGATCCCTTTCGCGTTAAATAACATTTCCTCAACGTTGACAAATGTACACGTTAAATCGAACAAAAAAGAACATTACTTTTTCCGTAATGTGTTTCCATTTAGCTCGCACGAATGCATCGAGACGTTTTCTTATTCTTCGTTTACAAGTGTCACTTTACAAAATCCAGTACACCTTGTGCTTCACGAATAAACGCAATTTTTCTACCATGGAGTAATCAAAGCCTAATCGGAATAAGCAAAGAAACGGAATTTCTCCGATTTCATTTCCCTTCGGTGGTTTCGGTTTTTAATTCTAAAAATAATCCCATAGATGGCATGCGCTGTAAAGCAAATAATACATTATCAAAGTTTCACATTTCAATGGGGAGAAGTGTCACGCGAACGTGGTTAGATGGAGACTTCGCACTTCCCCTTCTCCTTACATTTTTCCAATCTTGCCCCCCCCCCCCTTTTGTCTCTCCGCTCTCCTCCGAATACTATCGCTCAGGCAGCTTTCGACAGACTGGGGAAAATAACGGATGTTCTTTTGTAATACGGTATACGATGAATCCTCCCTTATATAAGAATACTAATTCTGCAAGGGACACTCGTTAGTTTTCCCCACTTTGGTCCAGGTAGCCGAGCTTCACTCTAACGGCGTGAGCGGCGAAAGGGAAGGGGAGTCTGGGCCGGCAGATGGCGAAGAGCAGGGGAAACGTGAAGATCGTTTGACCGCGCTGCGCGCGTGCAGTTTCCAATGTCGCCCAGGAGTTAGAGCGAGAAATCTATGGGCTGGTTTTTTGCCAAACCGAACGAAACGGAACGAGAAATAAAAAGGTATCTCTATCTTCCTGTGCAGGTAATTAACTTCGACTCGCCGCGCGGCGGTATTAGCTTGGTGACGGAGAAAGGTCCCGAAACGACGAGTCGTTTAATGATACAGAAAGCGGTGCCGAGCGACTCCGGGATCTATACATGCGAGCCGAGCAACGCGAATCCCAATAGCATCAAGGTGCACGTTGTGAACGGTAAGTCCCTAGAAATATTCGGAACCCGTTCGCTTATTTCGTCCTTCCGTTCTGTTTCGCCTGCTGTTAAATATTTCACTGTTCGAAGGCGAAACGAGATGCTGGGCATAGAAGCGGTGTTGCCAGATTGATCTGACTGTAGTCAGTGTTTAAATTCGTGGAAAGCCGTGTATCCAGCTCTACGTCGAGTGGATTCGAGGCGCGAAGTTGACACGGTTTACCAACCTCAATGGCAAAGGAGCGTCGCGTCGCGCGGTCGTAGAGGGCAGCACTGTCGCGCAAAGCCTACACGCGTAATTTAATACTCGTACACGAAACGAAACAGATATTCCATCTGATTCCGCTTTTAATTGGAGAAATATTTGAAATACGAAGTAATCTTGATCGAACGTTACTTCGAGGGACCGACTTGCCACGATGGAAATAACTGCCTCGTTTGCAGCCGGTAAATTATCAGGGTGCTTCTTATCACGGGCTGAAAGCGGACGCGTGGATTTAACGATAATTCGAAATAAGTTAAGCCGAGTTTCCGGTGTGTTATTTATCAACTTCAAGCGTTAATTGCTCGGTACAATGGCCAGCATAGCCTCACCCGACGCGAATGCAGATCGATGCGACACGTCGTGCACGACGGTGATTTATCACCGTCATCGTCCTGACTGATCCGCTCGCAAACGTCTGTTCGCGTTCTTTCCTTAATTGTTCGAATCGTTGCGCTTGTGCCGTTATCACGGCGGGACAATTTCGAGTCGAATGGGAAACGTTCGACGAATTTTAACGAGGAGAAAAGACGAAATGGAGGAAAAAGAACGGTAGAGTCGTGAAGTGGATAAATTGGCCCGGCTCGGGGCCGGAGAAATTTCATACGATTGGAATAAAATTTCTGTTACAGAGGAACATCCGGCCGCCATGCATCACGGTGATGGAAGTTCGTCGTTCGCTGCGACACGGCCGATGTGTTTTATAATTTTAATAGTAGCTAACGTAATATTTGTATAAGAGGAAAGAAAAGATAAACGACGAGGAGAAGGAAGGAAATACCCGACACGATAATACAGCGCGGTTTCACTTGCAAATCGCATTGCCTATGATCGATAACATTCTTTGGGTGAATATTTGCGCAGGGTAAAACTGAATATTACCTACATTTACATTAAATTTCCGTGACCAAAGAGTTTTCGAATATCAGCACGGCACAATAATCGGTAAGAGTGTAGTATTTTGTTAAGATATATCATCAAGAACGAATAACTTACGACGTCAAAATTTATTGTATTATTTGTAAATAAATTTATTGTATGTACATATCAATAAAACGATTGTCTTTATCTTTTCGCTATTTTTCTAGATACTGTCGGAATTCGTCGAGTGAAATAAATTTCGTATCATTTCGTTTCGCTTTATTAACAACGACGATAAGCGAATGAGGAATCTTCGATAATCCCGATGCGTTTTAATTTCTTCGTAAATTCGATATCGACGAATGTGATTGGATCTTATAAATAACTAAATTTATCGAGATTTCCTACTTGTTCGAAGCTACGAGTCTCGGAAATGATTGAACATTGATTTCCGTTACGATGCGAACGGCAAACTATCTAATACCGACGGATCTTTAGCGACGAATTACGTTCTCGTTCAAACACATGGTACTCTTGATGCGGACTCAATCACTCGTAAAGCCTCGTATACTATTTATACATAAGGATGACACAATTTGCATCGTGGATGACGCAAGAGCCTTAACGGGAAGAGAGCAGTGGACTCTTTGTAGCTCCGGCTAGCATATTCGGTTGGTATTTCTGGCAGGAAATAGCCGTAAGAAACAGGGAGGCTACAATGGCTCTAGGTAATGACAACGTTGATTACTTCGTCTATTGCGCCCATTAATTACAGAACGGTGCAGCTGACTTTTCCCGTGAAGCTACGTGCTCGCGATCTCGAGTTAGGCAAGTAGACGAGGAGAAGTCGTAAAATCGTGGCCAGCCCCGAATGTTCCCGAGCTGCAACAAACTCGACCCAGATATAACGCAAGTACGGATTTTGTCCACGTGTCGCCACCGTCGCAGCAAGATTCCCAGGCTTGAAATAACGCTCGTCGAGGGCAACCTCGTACAAAAAGGAGTGTATTTTTTAACAGGTCGCGATGAAGGCTGAATGGGCGCATCTACCGAAACTGTTTCGATTTCTACTTTTCAGGAAAAACTAGGACGTTTCGACTTTAACGACTTTTCCCTGATTCTTCTCGCCCAGCTGCCGTTTACGAGTGCATTGCTCCCATTCGCTAATCTCTAGGGAGACGATTCTTCGTCCACGAAACTACGCCGCGTTCTCTCTCGTACACCTTGATTTATCAGATATCTCGCAATGATTCGGCAATGATCCGGCAACGATCGGTCGAATGCACAGTCGATAACGAGTGCTATCAGTTGGCGGCGGTACAACGAGCCGTGTTCAAGTAGTCGATAAAATCGACGATTTTTGGCTCTCTTAAGCGTGGAATCATCGGTGGTGCGGTCCATGCACGCATTTGCTGTTGCTGTTGTTTTGTCCAACCGCTTCCACATTTCTTCCTCTTTTCCTGTTTTCGCGGATGTTCCTGCAGCGTTATCGACTTGCCGAACACGAAGAGGCAAGGGCCGAGATAGGGTCGGAAGTCGGGTATGTTCTGCTTGTATACCAGGGTGAAGCCACCCGTTTCAGCAGCCGGATTCATCGGTACGTCCATTATCACTGAAACAAATTGAAAGTGAACCAACGATTTCCACCGTTTCTTTTCATCCCTCCCATTTCGTTCAGACGAGACTACTTTGTACACCGCCATTTACTTTTCTCCGACTACCCCGAACTGTTCACGTATTTAGATCCTCTCGAATGTCACGCTGCGTTGGTCGATGTTAAAGTTGTTAAAGAATTATGGTGAAAACGAGTCTTTCGAACTCGAGTTCGTTTACGTATTTCGAGCCAATTTGCGCTAACGTGCTAGAGCTCGGAGATTTCGAGTATAAAATCAGAGAGGTTGAAAAAGACTGGAAGCAAGTAGAAACCATACTAGCACTGGATTAACCGAGCTAACAGATTTCGTAGGTAGAGCAATTTTCCTTTGTTTCCTATAAATTTACCGCGGTTAAAAATGGCGACTGAAGCTCTTCCCTTATTTTGTACAATTTTCAAAAGTGATTTCCAAAGAAAGATATTTTATAATTAAATATTTTGTACTTAAATGTTCAGTGATGCCACTAGGGGTGTCAAAGACAGTGCTACCACAAAAGCATGGTAACAGGAACGTCGTGTTAATATAGATGGGTAATTTGTGAATTGGCCTTTAACATAACCTATTAAATTGATATCGCTTTCATGCGGCCCATTAGGCTATGGTGAAGAACCATTGACAGTATATACGTACTAATATTTCAGACTTGGGATGATCGTCATCCTTTTACAAACCAGATTAAATTCATAAAAGTTTCAAATTCCTATTTTCGTTATACGAAATTGTTACTCCTTAATAAGATTTATATTAACGGAGAGCTTAGTTAATACACCAGCCACTACCGCGGATAAAAATGTCTGAACTCTTTTTGTAAAAAAAGTAGCAATCATTTGAAGTGGACAATTGGAAAGGTACATATACTTCCACGACCCAGTGCATAAACAAACAAAGCGTTTCTACTGCCACGTTTTTGTGCCACTGTCCCCGAGTCTCTCTAGCGAGAGAAGCACTCTGTATTTACACAGCAGAGTTTAACAAAGAAACAAAAGAACGAGGTTTCGATATTCGTCCTTCGTTTGATCAGGGGGGAACTGAGACGTTAGTTAAAGCGTGTTGCGTCTACCCGAAAGAGCAGATCCTCCTCGTGATTCCTATTTCTGACGAACAAAGTTGCTTAATCGAACCCCGGCAACGGGAGTATCAGTCGATGCTAGACGATTTGAAAAGCTCGTTGGAGTATTTGCAAGGAAAACCAGAATCTCGTTGACTTGTCCCGACCGCTATCATAGAGTCGTGAAGTGGATAAATTGGCCCGGCTCGGGGCCGGAGAAATTTCATACGATTGGAATAAAATTTCTGTTACAGAGGAACATCCGGCCGCCATGCATCACGGTGATGGAAGTTCGTCGTTCGCTGCGACACGGCCGATGTGTTTTATAATTTTAATAGTAGCTAACGTAATATTTGTATAAGAGGAAAGAAAAGATAAACGACGAGGAGAAGGAAGGAAATACCCGACACGATAATACAGCGCGGTTTCACTTGCAAATCGCATTGCCTATGATCGATAACATTCTTTGGGTGAATATTTGCGCAGGGTAAAACTGAATATTACCTACATTTACATTAAATTTCCGTGACCAAAGAGTTTTCGAATATCAGCACGGCACAATAATCGGTAAGAGTGTAGTATTTTGTTAAGATATATCATCAAGAACGAATAACTTACGACGTCAAAATTTATTGTATTATTTGTAAATAAATTTATTGTATGTACATATCAATAAAACGATTGTCTTTATCTTTTCGCTATTTTTCTAGATACTGTCGGAATTCGTCGAGTGAAATAAATTTCGTATCATTTCGTTTCGCTTTATTAACAACGACGATAAGCGAATGAGGAATCTTCGATAATCCCGATGCGTTTTAATTTCTTCGTAAATTCGATATCGACGAATGTGATTGGATCTTATAAATAACTAAATTTATCGAGATTTCCTACTTGTTCGAAGCTACGAGTCTCGGAAATGATTGAACATTGATTTCCGTTACGATGCGAACGGCAAACTATCTAATACCGACGGATCTTTAGCGACGAATTACGTTCTCGTTCAAACACATGGTACTCTTGATGCGGACTCAATCACTCGTAAAGCCTCGTATACTATTTATACATAAGGATGACACAATTTGCATCGTGGATGACGCAAGAGCCTTAACGGGAAGAGAGCAGTGGACTCTTTGTAGCTCCGGCTAGCATATTCGGTTGGTATTTCTGGCAGGAAATAGCCGTAAGAAACAGGGAGGCTACAATGGCTCTAGGTAATGACAACGTTGATTACTTCGTCTATTGCGCCCATTAATTACAGAACGGTGCAGCTGACTTTTCCCGTGAAGCTACGTGCTCGCGATCTCGAGTTAGGCAAGTAGACGAGGAGAAGTCGTAAAATCGTGGCCAGCCCCGAATGTTCCCGAGCTGCAACAAACTCGACCCAGATATAACGCAAGTACGGATTTTGTCCACGTGTCGCCACCGTCGCAGCAAGATTCCCAGGCTTGAAATAACGCTCGTCGAGGGCAACCTCGTACAAAAAGGAGTGTATTTTTTAACAGGTCGCGATGAAGGCTGAATGGGCGCATCTACCGAAACTGTTTCGATTTCTACTTTTCAGGAAAAACTAGGACGTTTCGACTTTAACGACTTTTCCCTGATTCTTCTCGCCCAGCTGCCGTTTACGAGTGCATTGCTCCCATTCGCTAATCTCTAGGGAGACGATTCTTCGTCCACGAAACTACGCCGCGTTCTCTCTCGTACACCTTGATTTATCAGATATCTCGCAATGATTCGGCAATGATCCGGCAACGATCGGTCGAATGCACAGTCGATAACGAGTGCTATCAGTTGGCGGCGGTACAACGAGCCGTGTTCAAGTAGTCGATAAAATCGACGATTTTTGGCTCTCTTAAGCGTGGAATCATCGGTGGTGCGGTCCATGCACGCATTTGCTGTTGCTGTTGTTTTGTCCAACCGCTTCCACATTTCTTCCTCTTTTCCTGTTTTCGCGGATGTTCCTGCAGCGTTATCGACTTGCCGAACACGAAGAGGCAAGGGCCGAGATAGGGTCGGAAGTCGGGTATGTTCTGCTTGTATACCAGGGTGAAGCCACCCGTTTCAGCAGCCGGATTCATCGGTACGTCCATTATCACTGAAACAAATTGAAAGTGAACCAACGATTTCCACCGTTTCTTTTCATCCCTCCCATTTCGTTCAGACGAGACTACTTTGTACACCGCCATTTACTTTTCTCCGACTACCCCGAACTGTTCACGTATTTAGATCCTCTCGAATGTCACGCTGCGTTGGTCGATGTTAAAGTTGTTAAAGAATTATGGTGAAAACGAGTCTTTCGAACTCGAGTTCGTTTACGTATTTCGAGCCAATTTGCGCTAACGTGCTAGAGCTCGGAGATTTCGAGTATAAAATCAGAGAGGTTGAAAAAGACTGGAAGCAAGTAGAAACCATACTAGCACTGGATTAACCGAGCTAACAGATTTCGTAGGTAGAGCAATTTTCCTTTGTTTCCTATAAATTTACCGCGGTTAAAAATGGCGACTGAAGCTCTTCCCTTATTTTGTACAATTTTCAAAAGTGATTTCCAAAGAAAGATATTTTATAATTAAATATTTTGTACTTAAATGTTCAGTGATGCCACTAGGGGTGTCAAAGACAGTGCTACCACAAAAGCATGGTAACAGGAACGTCGTGTTAATATAGATGGGTAATTTGTGAATTGGCCTTTAACATAACCTATTAAATTGATATCGCTTTCATGCGGCCCATTAGGCTATGGTGAAGAACCATTGACAGTATATACGTACTAATATTTCAGACTTGGGATGATCGTCATCCTTTTACAAACCAGATTAAATTCATAAAAGTTTCAAATTCCTATTTTCGTTATACGAAATTGTTACTCCTTAATAAGATTTATATTAACGGAGAGCTTAGTTAATACACCAGCCACTACCGCGGATAAAAATGTCTGAACTCTTTTTGTAAAAAAAGTAGCAATCATTTGAAGTGGACAATTGGAAAGGTACATATACTTCCACGACCCAGTGCATAAACAAACAAAGCGTTTCTACTGCCACGTTTTTGTGCCACTGTCCCCGAGTCTCTCTAGCGAGAGAAGCACTCTGTATTTACACAGCAGAGTTTAACAAAGAAACAAAAGAACGAGGTTTCGATATTCGTCCTTCGTTTGATCAGGGGGGAACTGAGACGTTAGTTAAAGCGTGTTGCGTCTACCCGAAAGAGCAGATCCTCCTCGTGATTCCTATTTCTGACGAACAAAGTTGCTTAATCGAACCCCGGCAACGGGAGTATCAGTCGATGCTAGACGATTTGAAAAGCTCGTTGGAGTATTTGCAAGGAAAACCAGAATCTCGTTGACTTGTCCCGACCGCTATCCTCGGAAACTTTCACCCGCAGTCTCGGTTCCTGACAACTTGCTTCTGTCTACGTTATCCTATAGCTCGCAGTTTGCTAACCTTTCACCAAGCTTTCGAGAACATTGGAATAGAGGCGTTTGGTAATTCTCGAGCTGGGTGGGTGCATCCTGGGATTCGTGTTGATCTCGATCAACCACACCGAGAGGTCCTCCATCACTACGAAATCGGCCCCATATAGTTCGAAGCTACATCGCCGTCTGTCCATGTGTTCTTGGGAAGCCAGCATCGTTAGAACTATGGCTTCGGACATTTTCGAGTAGATCTGCTCGTAATACGGATCACCCTCGTGTCCTGTTTGCCTGCAAAGTATGAATCAGTATTAGCCCTTGAATTAATACTAATTAAACCAGTAATTAAATCTTATTGCGACTGTGATTTTACGTTTTACATGGAAAATTAGGCGAACCTGGTAACTTCGAATCGAGACGAAATCAGCTCACAGCAGGTAAGGAATTTTCACAAGAAAAATAGCCAGGTACCCGTAAGAATAATGACAGAGTAACACGCGAGAATCGCATTTAGAATTTTATAAACGAAATCACGTTAATAATAAAAAGATTTCGGGAACCATTGTAATCATGAAACATTCTCTAAATCGCTAGGAAAGCGGAAGTAAGCGATCGAAGAGATACCTTTGCGAAGGTAATGGCAATAGGGGGAGTGATAGGCGAGAGAAGATTACACAGAAAAAATACACGGATTCTGAGCAAATTTGAGCATCGGCCCTATCAATCTCGGAATCATCAAACGCCATCAAGCGTAACGAACGGATAACCGAAAGTTCTCGTACAACGAATAAACTGGTGGAGAGATTACTTTAAATATTCGTTCAGCTTCTCGCAGTCCCATCCTTGATCGCGGATCGATTTTACGACTTCCTCCGAAATTCCACGTTTCCTCCGCCTCCTCCTCTCCTCGTCGTACTTCTCCTGAATGGCGGTATTGCAGATATGAATCGCTTCGTGATATGTTGAGAAAGTGTAGGGTTTCGAGCTGAATCGGAGGAGTCCTTCCCTGGAAAAGGATAGAAAAGGATCGGGAAGATTCTTTGATGGAATCTAGCCGGATCTCCGTCGAGAAGATTCTTTCAAGGAAATTTTGAAAGCGCTTTTCTCTGGGAAATCCCTTTTCGAAACTTTTACGTACACCCCCGTAATGATACGTATCCTTTTATCTCCACGTACACTCTTCTAACCATGTCGTTGAACATTGTTTCGGGGAATAAAAAATTATTTCCCGATAATTCAGTTTGGAAATTTAATAAATACACTTACTGACGAAAATTGGAGAAAACGGAATATTCATTTGGAAATTTTTATACGTTCTTTATCTCCCAGGATGCATATATTAAAATTAAAAATAGAGTGAAGAAACATCTTGTACTTTAATGAATAATAACAGTCTTTTTGTATCTCGTTGAAATTCTATTTTTAATTTTAATTTATGCATCTCAGAAAATAAATAAAAATTCATCAATAAATAAATATCGGTTGAAGAGTTTAAAAATTAATTACTTGAAGATCCATATCGTTAAAGGGAATGTGTTCGTGACCAGATACCACACTCTTATGTCGAACTTCGTATCGTATATTAATAGTGGACGTTCTGAAATTGAAAGGAGCATATGAGATCATGGAGAGGTTAGGGTAATGAATTTTTCACTTACCGATGTATTTTTGAACGATGAAATAATCCTTCGGTCTACTCTTTATCTTTCGAAATATGTCCTTTAAGCTGTGAGATATACTGATGCCCGTGCCGCAACAAAGTTCACTGGGTTTCAAGATCCACATATTCCTCATTCCGTTTAATTCGTACTGCGGGTCGACCTCTTTCAATTTCGTCAGCGTTGCATTTGCCGCGTCGAAATATTTCTAATCAACACGATCAAATATTGACGAGACGGTAATAAAGTCGAAAAGTTGCACGCTAGTCGCCTGCATCGAAATTACTTGGCAGATTACATTTTAATATAGAGAAGTAACTTCGAAACGGGTCTATTTCCTCGTATTAAATATTTCTACACTTGTAATATACTTAAATATAGTATGGTGAAAATAAATACATATATAATTACGTTTCTATAAAAGATAATATTAATTTTACCAACAGCAGTTGCATATTTGTCGCAACTGTAAAAATATGAAGTCTAAAAGTTGTTATTTTGACCAGTTTAGTCCTGTTATTAAAACATTGTCACAGTGAAATCTCCGTATGTACAATTTTCGTATCACAATCCGTGTATTTCAACACACGTGCACTCGTATATCAAGAATTATACATACTAGAACACGGTTACGTTAGTAAACTTCGATATGCGTTTAAAACCATAACCTTATCTTGGTTCCGAACCTTCTTGGATACGAGGGTTTGACCGTACACTAGCGCTAAGGAACTACAGAGGAGTAAGCAGTACGGTACTTGTAACTGTTCGCGACTCTTCTCCGTGTTAGTCTCGATCTCAGCCCCCTCGTGTACGGCCGCGGTGTAATCGTCCAAAAAGGAATTCCATTCCTCTTCCGAGAACTCGGTGACGAAGTCTTCATCTATGTTCTGGTGGTTTTCGCAAGCAATAAATTCTTCGCAGCGTTTTATAGCGAATTCCAGTCGACTCATTGGAATCGAACGATGCTCCGACTCCGACAAACTCGGTTCATCTTGCATTCTTTCGACGAACCACTTCAGTAAACCAGCGACGGCGGTTAAACGAAAATCCTCGAGGAAAGCTTTCGGCTCTCTACTTAGGTTATAACTTCGTGGGAATAGAACAGACGATACGTCTTTTTCGTACAGCCAATGAGCCTCTTCCAGCAGATGAGCCATTCCTAACTATATTATTCGTAACCGTAAGTATTTTAACGAACACGAGTGACATCTTATATTTCGTCTCGAGAGTTGTTTCGCGTTTAATCGCACGCTACATTATCGGCGAGTTTTTATAGGTTAAGAACGACAGAATCTCGTAAAGTGTTAACCTTTGAAGTGTAGACGGAAGGCTTTTGATATCTATTCAGAATCGTATTACTGCTGAGGCCACGATGCCAGTCGACGAAGTCATTTCTGCAATCCCATATAAAGTCTGGCGATTTGTGACGTAGTAAAGCGAAAATTACCGCTTTCTCGTTTAAACTGCCGTCCAGCTGAGTCAAATCACCCAATGATCTCGCTTCTAAGCTGGCCACGCTACCTAAAAATTCGATAGAGGTTTTTCAAAGATAAATCACGGCTCGTTAGCCTTCCCGGCTGTGTATTAACAACTGGTGGCAAATTAAATTTTTACGATATTATTTACGTTAAAAAAATATGGTAAAGCGGGAAGAAAAATATGTAAGGGAAAGGTTAAGACAGCTTTTCATCTGGGCACTTCATCGGGGTTTACGTGGTCGATTTTTAATTAAAGAGAGTAGAATGTAAAGAAAAAGATTTAATTAAGAAAAGCAAGGAAACTAACCGTAAGGTAGAGTTCTCGTTTTTGTTGCTTCGTATTTCTGCACCCAGCCTCTCTTCTCTAGAGCTTCCTTCAGTTTTGGTAACTCGCCGCGTATCAAAAATATTTTGTGTCTCTGAAAAATGCGTATTTTAAAGTGCCATAAAATTACCATGTTTTTATACAAAACTGTCCAAACTTATTCAAATCTTTTATTCATTTCAGTCGACAAGTCATCTGCTAACGACTCCACACCTTAGCAATAATGTGCACCTAAAGGCAGTATACAAAGATAATAGCAATAAACAGGTATATATAATCACATTTTTACTTTAATAAAAATTTCCTATAATTTCCAGTAATTGAAACCAGTTGGTTTAATTTGGCACTTTTATGGGAAAAGAATTAAATTGTATAAAATTATTATACAACAAATTTATAAAATTTGTATAGTATGTCTGATTACCTTGATAGCTCTGCCAACTTTGGTCTTAATCTTCTGATATCGTTCTTTTCTAGACCAGTGATTCTTGCAGCAATCATCTTCCTTGAGTACGATGTTCCTGTAGTTATTAATAGTGTCGACATTGTGTTTGTCAAAGATCTCCCGAGGGCAGCAGGAACACGTGTCCATGTACGATTTCGGGAACACACCACAGTCGAGTTGTGGCAGGCTGTTAACAGCGTTGATCTCGTTGTCGTCCATGTCCTGGAGTGGCCATTTTAAGTTCATTTTTGTCCAATCCACCCGATTGTACGGATTCACTGGGCTTTCCTTCTTTTCCAGGCTGATCAAAGGAGTTAATTTGCAGTAGGAGTGGCACCCCTTTTCCTCGCTCGTTGGGACCGTAGTCGTTGAGTCTTTCGTGGTTCTAATGTCCCTTGATCGGTGAAGGTGAAACGTTCTAATTTATTACGTGATGGCTGTTCAATTTTATTCCCTTTTTTATCGGTGATCGATTAACACTTTGACTGCTGAACCAATTTTATGTAACTTGTCAGTAACTCGCTTTATTACAGTCCCAGAATGAGTCTTTTGTTTTATCTTGTTATGTGTAAATGATAGGTGTATAGTGTAGAGTTAGAAGTAAAATTATTTAAATATATGTTTAAGTATAATGCGCTAGTTTTTTTTTACATTGCAATAAGAATGACGGTATTGAATACTTTATTGAACGTTCCTTTGCGTCAAATGCCTTTATTAAGCTTGGCATCGCTACAGATTATCTCCGCAACGTGGCGCCACTAGCAAATTGAGTATTGGTCACTGGTTACCCCAACGCATTCAACGTGTTAATCATCGCGTTTTACTCTGATTATCCAGGTCACTGGACTTGGTCTCTCGTTAAACCTTTAGGAGTCTGAATTAGGATACTTACTTTAAATCAAGTGGCAAGTCCATAGTTTCTTCGTGAATCGAAATGATTATTTTAGGTTAATTCCTGTTGGAATAAAAAGTGACCTCGAATCAAAGCTTTACTCGAGATAAACTATATAATTGGTACAGTTATATTAATTAATTAGATTCAGAGTCTACTAATACTAATTTGACTGAATTATATTTATCTGAAAGGTTGATATGCATAAAAAAAATTGTATTATTCTTATGAGTTATATTTTCACATGTGATATCAATGTAACAACGACTCAGATGATATTAATTTATATAATAGAATATATTTATCATATTAATTTAATATTATTAGATAATATTATTGGAATTCAGATGAACGGTTAAAAATTCAGGAAAAATATCAAATATAGAAAAAGGATTTAAATTGGAAGAAAGGTTTGCAACAGTGGGAATATTTGTTAATATTTTTACACTTTAAACGACCAGTGGACGAGGTGGGATAGGCTCAATCGATCAATCTGCTTGTTTAATCCAGCCGCTTTATTGTCTGGCAAGCTTAATCGCCTAAGTAATTAACCTTTTATGCAACGAACTTTGCAGGAACTGGTTTTTGCCCTTATTAAAGGACCATATTAATTTAACCCTGACTTTTTATGTTTCCCTCTCTTGATTCATGAAAGAAATTCGCGACTAAATTGCTACAGAGAAGTTGCATCGTTACCTTTCGAAGGTTTCACGATAATTTATATTAGATTCTGACTTCATTAAATTCAAGTGGTACGAGTGATGAAACTAATCGATATTTAACAACATACGCGACTTTCATAGCTGCAACTATTACCAAAGTAACGACATAATTTGCGATACAAATTAATAACCTAATAAATTAACAAATTTACGTGTGTAATGATAAACGAAAAACCATTATTTTCCATTAGCTCTTACACTCTATTTCCTCCTCTGTTGCACATGCGATAAATTACCAATATGAATTATAATTTTATGGACACGTGCATTATATATTTTGTACAAGTATGATACAACTATATTATATTCCAAGCAGACACGTATTATAAATTAATTAAAATATCAATATGTATGCAATTCTACCCTGTGTTTAATACTCCAAACTCTATTACACTTCGAAAGGAAAATAAATTAACCCTTTGCTAGGAACAGCCTATATGTCTATCGGTAATTATGCAAATTAAGTCTAGAGAAAATTGATTAAAGCTACAAAATCTTCGTTATTTTGTTAAATTATTGTTAATATAAACGAATACAATGCATAGTAAATTCTTTTTCAATCTTTGACTCGTACCACTTTTATGTATAGTTATTAACACATACTATACATATATATCCTAAAATCTCATTGCTAAATAGAACTTTATTTCATTTTCACTCGTGAAAGAAAATTTTTTAGCAAAAATGCTTTCATCCAGAATATCATGGCGATGGGGTAACGTAATTGTACAATGCAACCCCTCTGTTTCTAGTAAAAATTGATTACTTTCGTTTCTAAGCAAATATCGCAAGCACATCAAGCTCTATTAAAAGCTTTAAGTAGTAAGTTCATGCCCAGGGTATTATACTTGCCATATTTATTCTTATCTGATGAAATCGTGACGAAAAATTTCGAGGCTGTAAAGTTCATTTCATGGTTAGAAAAATGGCGGCATCGGTTTTCCTTCTATCGCAGAAATACTTCGTGGAAATTTCTTTTTCTCTGTGCTATGTTATGTTGGTTGGCAAAAGCTCTTGTCAATGTCCCTATAATTCGCTTGGTTAATTTCAACACTTTCTTATCGATATCGTGACTTCTTAACTTTGATGGTCTTCGGTGATAGCACGAGGCATAAGGTTAGACTCGAAAATTTAATTCATGATTCCCCTATTCCGAACGTTATGGTTCCTGTTATTTATGGATTTTTGTTCGTGTGTCAAACGTCAGACATGTTGCGACTACTCGATCTTCTACTTTTTCTGCCTCCATCTCCATGCACGTAACGTTAACCAACTGGCGCTGTATCGTTTGTTTACAATTCCCTAACCTGCAACTTTACGAATCATGGGTTAAAGTCAGGGCGGAAAAAAGAGGTGAAAATTGGATGATACATGGCAGACGGGAAACCTGTAGTAAAGGTGAAATATGCTCGCGTGTAAATACGCATGTATGTTTATTTCTAGAATGGTGAAATATATATATAGGAAAACGATATCTGCGCATATAGGTATTCTCGATACAATGAAATATTTCGTGTTTCGATATCATGGCTGCAGCGAAATTCAGTGTACCGTATTGTCAATACTTTGATACTTTTAACACTGCAGAGCCAATCATAATCACAGGTTCCAGAATATTTTTCTACATTTCTTGTTTATATTTATTTTTCTTATTTATTGAATTTTATTAGGTTATGTCAACGGTAAAGATAGATTTGGAGATAATTAATTACGTTAAATCAAAGTAAATAAAGCAATATTTGGCCGAAGGTTCGGGAAACGGGTATCTCTGCCGATTTCGATAATTTGGCAATATTAATTTCGATTCTATAAAAATAGAAACATAATTATATGATGGGTGCTTGAGAATTAAATGGCTCTACTTAGAAAGTTTAAGAAATCATTTTCTTTTACATGTATGTAAATATATTTTTTCGATACATTCGATGTGTCAAAAATATTATCCGAAAATTTAGCAGCGAAACTCGCAGGAATATCAAAAATACAGACATCACAGGTATTGTCAGGCGTTGTTTGCAATATATAAAATTTTAATAAAGCAGAAAGATGAAAATGTTGCAAAAATTTAATAAATCAATATTCTCTATCGTTTTTAGTTCCAATTATACGTTTAATCCAGAATTAATGATTCGTAATAACGTAACAAATTTATCACGTTAATTCACTCTTCTGGAAATCAAATTTCTAAAAAATTTTGCGTGACTATTAGTTTTTGACATATATATATACATATGAATATATGGAATGAAAAAAATATTATTCAGTATAACGATGCAATTACTATTACCCACATCGAAATTTCTCAATCATTTTTGGCTCCTACTTTTTGAGCACTGGTATCTTTCTTTATTTTTCTTCATACCTGCTGAAAGTCTGAATTTATCAAAAAATCGTCTCACAATTTTTTCACGTTATTTTTTTCTTCTGCCTGATCCTGAAAATTTGAGGTTAGGTTTCCACGTGGCCATGTTACTATATACGTGTCTAATACAATGTTTAGATGCACAGTGTGCACCAGTGATTATGTCGTCGTCTATCATCCTGGAAACGATATATTTTTCAGCTGAAATAATTTTGCTAAAAATTTCTTTAACCTAATTCCATAGCATTCAAACATTTTGCTGCAATCACGATGCATCAGGGTGCTCGTGTTCGTGCTAACGCATCATTGACACTCGATAAAAAATTAATAGAGATATTTCTCGTCTGCTTCTGAAACACAAAAAGCCTTTTTACATGTTACGTATTTATTTTGATCGAGTGTGTGAACACTCGATTATTAAGCGTTCGCAAATTTCGCGCGTTTGACTAATATTTCGCCGTGGCCCTATTAAAACGCAGCCGAATTCAATGCCGAACAATTTCATTCCCTGTGTATCGCGTCGCGCGGCTAGAAAATTTTGCCATGCAAAATTTCCAGCGTTAAAACACCCCCGCTCCTCTCAGCCCGCGCTCCCGTTTTAATATCGAAAATTAAACGAAAACATTGTCATTACGGAGATTAACATAAAAGCCGTGATATTCGCTCCAAAAATTCCCATGAAAGTTTATACCGTGTTTGTATCTGATATTTTCCTACATTTCCTTCTCTGTTTCCAACAAATAAAATTATTGCATCGCATTATTCGCGGCACGGTGATTAATGAAGATTCCTTCGTCTCGCGAATATTTTCGACGTAATTTTTGGGATACACAGTGGTGTCCGCTTAAAAGGCCTCGAAATTGACCGGTTAAACGTCCACGAAGCTGTCCGCTTAAATGGCCACGAATCTGTCCGCTTAATTCTCCACGGACTTGTCCGCATCACAGCCAAAATTCTGTATTCGGCGTTAATGGCCTGGCCACTTAAATTTTTTATTTGTCTTTTAACATACGTATTAATTTTTCAATATTCTTGTTCCAATTTTTTTTAAATTCCTCTGTCTTCGTTTTTCATCTACCGGTCGTTTCAACGGTCCTGGTAGGTTTCGTGGTGAATTTTCTCGAAAATAGGACCTCGCAGGAAACGCTTGTATTTTTCCTTCTCCACTTATCCCTATACGCAGAGTGGTCTCCTGGCCACTTGTGCTGCCAGTTACCGGGCACCCTGTATAACGCACAACGATGCTCGGATGTCGGACAATGATATTTGGAAATCCGTTATATTTAACTAGCAACGGTGGCCTGGCAGGCAAGAGGGTAGAAATCGTGTCAGCGAAACGTGCTTTCGATCCGACTTGCTGCGCGAGCGAACGAGTTAACTAGCTAAGTAACCGCGCCCACTGCACTCTCTAATCACCAAAGGCACCAGAAATGCTTTTAAACTTTCCATCCACAATTACGTCCTTATTCGCATAGGAACCCCTATTAGACCGTCCATTATTCTAATTATGGAAGAACCGTCTGAAATATATTGATTAGACTTAAGAAGGCTGAGTGGTCAGGATCAAGAATCCGACTGACTGTTCTTCGCTGGCCCGTCTTCTTCCTGCGACCAATCCTCTTCATGCCGTTTATCGTTCATTCTCGTTTCCGTGGCTATAGGGCCAGTTTAATTAATTGTCATCGTAATTGCACCGGATTCTATGACGTATCTGTAATTGAAATGGTCGCATAATTAGTAATTTATAATTGCAATAGACGTATAGACGTCTTACATTTACGACAGTTTAATTATTAACCTTTTGCACTCTCTGATTTTTTATAGAAAAATAACAATTCGAAGACGTTCTGCTCGTCGACGACATTTTTAAGACAGTAAATAAGAAATCGGATACAAGTTGGCATCTAGAATTATTTTGTTTCGTCATTCCACGCATGGTTACGTTATTTCAAATTTGATATATTATCATCGATTTTCAGAATTTGATTAAATGGTGGCTTAAGGTCGCCTCTGGAGAGCAAGGAGTTAATAATGCAACATAAAAATTTAACTTTGCTGTTGCGTCTTGTAAATTGTATTATCAAATTTCACTAGAAAATATCGTAGAGAAAATTCAGCTGTTATCTGATGTCTGATTTATTTGTTGAGCGTATTGTCATAAATAATTTCGAGTAATAAATAAGAGAAATTCTTTGAATGAATGGAAATTCGAAGAGAAGGACGATCTAGGTAGTTAAGTTCTCGCCAGGTCGATAAAATTGTATTTATGCTGAATGTTCTGTCCTAGCATTATGGGGATGAAGTCCTTGAAGTATACGCGAAGTTAGCCCAGACTTTTTACACATTCTGACGCGTTCCTATCGATTGCCGTCATACATGAATTATTGTTCCATTTAGACCTCTGCTACATTTCTGGTTACTTCGTTAAAGCTATGTTTGGTTCTCTTAGAATCCTGTATGTATAAAGCTTCTTTGAATTCAGAGCACCCTGGCTTTCAAGCATTTCGATGTATCTGTTTCGATTCCACGAAGTCCTGTTAGGGGTTGAAAATTAGGTATGTCATCTATTTTATTTGTAATGGCGAGTTTTTAGAGAATTATTGAAAAGTTGGAGACCAGTAAATTGCCTGGTTTGTGAGTATTTCCGAATATCTCTTGAGGTCTCGTCTTAAATGTCTCTTCTTCAAGTTCCTTCCATAAATTGAAAAATTTTCTCCAATGTGGGAGGAAATCCTTTAAATTGCAGATTGTCTTCAGATTGTCGAAAGGACCATAAAATATTTTAAATTAAATTTTGTTAAATTCTGGTTTTTGACACTTGTTTGATACAAATTTTCAAAACGTGATCTAGAGGTTCACAATCGCTTTCGTCATAAAACAGTTTAGCGCTTCACGTGGATACAAGTAGACACAAGTAGGCTCTGAGAACGTGAAGAATATCCTCTCAAAGATCCCTTTGAAACAACGCGCGTATACTCGAAAAATATTCCGCGAGCCAATTTTTTGATCCGATGAATTTTTGCTGTATGATAAATTTTTCTTGACCAAGAAAATAAAATTCTATTTGAAATAACATTTACGTTTCTCAAAGGGTTCCTGTCGGTCGGGTTATTTTCCGGAGTACAGCAACCTACGAATATTTTCATTTAAATGAAAACCTGTAGCCTAGTTTCCAATGAAAGTACGAAAGTAACTCTGCACCCTCGAATTCCATATATCGCGTATCTTTTTTAAGACACGCACGCATACCCGCGTTTGTTCAATCTATTACGAGGCTTTTATCCAATGGAGCGCCCCCGGTGAAGAAACGAGTTGCGAAGTTGACGCGAAAGTTCGCTCTGTAAACTAGTTTTCCGTGGTGGAGAACTTGAGGCGGACCAATATTTATCGCGGCATGTAAACGGTAAACAGTTAATGCACCGTCGTTGTCGCGCGAATTCGTCAGACCGACGCAATCAACATCTAGGGGAAAAAGCATGGCGGCGCTAGGGACTTGGCGATATCGCTCACCGCGAGGCGACGCAGCTTATGAAATAAGAATATTCCGCGGCGCGCTGCATCGCAAGTAAATAGACTCACAGTTGTATAAATCTTATTATAAGGTAATCTTGTTTCGAAACGCCACGCTACTTTCCTACTCGTGCCTCGATGTCTGCGGATCTTACACGATGCATCTTCAACGGTGAAATAAGTTACGAAGTTTGCCGGTTAAGTTCGCGGCGCTGGGGAAGCTGTTGCAGCCGCATCTAGTCGTCTTTCGCCTCCAACTTCGTTTCTCTTCTCTGCTCATCGAGATGCGACTATCGTCCTACTTGTCTATATTTCGCGTAAGCGTTCATTTGCCATGCCTTCACTGCAGAATTCTCCAGTTATGTCTCTGGAACAAC